TTGTAATTAAATGTAAAATTGTAAACATTCTTAGTAAATTAAAAACCAACCTACCAGCATTGTCTTCCTTCTGGCTCAATCTGTTTCACCTTCAGGTAATCCTAGGATAGGGGCTCCTTTTCAGATCCCCAGTTTTTCATGTCGATCTTCTACCTCCCTGTGGCAACAATATTTTCTAATTAAAAGAGTCCTTTTGTGCCACAGGGAGGATTTCTGATGGTATAACAAATACAAAAGTTATCACAGCTCATCATGAAGTCAACTTAGTCTTGAGATTTTTCAAGAAAGAAATTTGGCTCCTGAATTTATTTTTCAAGACAGAAATCTGGTTTTATTTTTTTAAACTGCCCTTTAAAAAGCTAAACTTTCATTTACTTAAAAAAAAAAAGCAGTGCTTTCTTGTTGAATTATGTAAAAATTCTTATCATTTGTCTATCTTTTCAACTAACCTCTAAACACAATTTTGTTGATCACAAAAAGAAACTAAGTTTTCTTGATCATTTCTTTAACTACTAACACCAAATTTTTATGTTTTGATACCTGGCTAAAAACCAAAGTCCTACTCCTAATGATCAGAAGAGAGAAGTAGGAAGCGAACAGACTGCTTTCAGCCAATGTCTGTTAGTAAAGACTAATAAATCTACTTGTATTACATAACATAATGTTAATTTTGCTTAAAATGTACATTTTAAAAAGGCCAGCAATAAATACAAAAAGCAATACTTGCTGTTCCCTTGCTGGTAAGGGATTATGAGTAATTTTCACTGTTTTTCTTTGTAATACTTCCCAATTTCTCCAATGAGCATGTGTTGCTTTTATTATAAGAAAAAAATCAAATTTAGGTGTAAGCACGAATGATTAAAATCTACTGTGACGGGTGCCTGGGTGGCTCAGTCATTAAGCACCTGCCTTGGGCTCAGGTCATGATCCCAGGGTCCTGGGATCGAGCCCTGCATCGGGCTCCCTGCTGGGCGGGAGGCCTGTTTCTCCCTCTCCCACTCCCCCTGCTTATATTCCCTCTCTTGCTGTCTCTCTCTCTGTCAAATAAATAAATGGATCTTAAAAAAAAATAATAACCTACTGTGACTTTAAGATGAAGTTAATATAATATGACAACATTATGGCGCTGATATATTTTGGATGCCCATATTTATGTTTTTGGATGACTACCCTTTTATATTTTAAATAACCCTAAGATATTCAATGTTTAGCATATTAACAAAAAAGAAAATATATTTAAGATTTTACACAGATGGTTCTTGATTATACTGCAATACTGAGGCAAAACTCAATTTATTTCAATCTGTATTCCCTAACCATTATGTGTTAAACACTATTATTATATACTATATTCAACAAAACTAAAAAGTATGGTCCCTGTCTTCAAGAGACATATATCCAGTTTGAAAACAAAGGAGTATGAATACACACAAGAACAGTATAAGAAAGTACATGATCAAGTGCCTTAGTCCAGATGGTCTAACAGAGGATCAGGAAAGGGACCATTTAATGTAGACCGTAATCACTGTGGAAATAGTGACACACTAGATTTTGGGTTTATTTTGGTCTGTTAGAAGAAACTGCCTCCCAAAATTTTAAAGAAAGAAAAACTCAGGGCGCCTGGGTGGCTCAGTTGGTTAAGCGACTGCCTTCAGCTCAGGTCATGATCCTGGAGTCCCTGGATCGAGTCCCGCATTGGGTTCCCTGCTCGGCAGGGAGTCTGCTTCTCCCTCTGACCCTCCCCCATCTCATGTGCTCTCTCTCATTCTCTCTCTTTCAAATAAATAAAATCTTTAAAAAAAAAAAAAGATAATACTTAATCACAGTCTTGATAGAAAACTGTATTTGAGCAAAAGCTCAGAAGATAAGAAGGCCAGATTAGGAAGGATCTACTTCTGGATGATTCTGTGAGTCTGAATTTGGCAGAGGAGTGGCTTTTGAAATCTGATAAAGAGCTTCAGGAGAATGATAAATGTAGGTGCCAAAGCACAGTAAGTTAAGGAAGGAATGACAAGGAAAAAGTACAGAATGAAGGTATAGAGCCTTTGTTTTTTTTTTAAAGTGGAAGTGAAAGGAAAGAGAAAAATACAACAGAGAAGTAAACAAATGTTCTGTTTTAATGTATAAAAGACCTTCTCCATATTTGAAGGCATAAGGAAAGGTTCTAATGAAGTTAAGGGAATACTTATGGAGCACTTACTACATGACAAGCACTGTGCTTTATATATTTATTTTATGTAGTCCTCACGACCTTGAATTACTAGTTTATGACAGTGAAACAGACTCTCAAAAACTTAAACACTGATAGGTAAGTAATAAAGTAGGAATCTGAAACCACGACTAACTAACCATCAATATTCTTCCCTTTTCTACTAAAGAGAACTACTTAAAAGTCTTTAAAAAGAAAAAATGTTAACCTCAGGAATAGGATTTTCTATCATATTTGATCACTCTTGGCTTTTCTTCATGTTCCTCAAAATGTAAACATTCCTTAAGGTTAATTCCTTAATTCTGTGTCCCTTGTTCTTGATCACAGAGAGTCAAACACAGAATTTAATTATCTTCTCCCTTGGAGAAATCTCTCAAATACCTTTCCTTTTGGAGATTCCATTTATTACCATGGAATCAATGACTATGATTTCCAAAACAGTCTCTCCTTGACCTTTCTTTACTAAACTTCAGTTGTACTAGATATCTTCCATTTGCCCCTCCAGATCTATTCTTTACCTTTCCTGATGCTGCTCTCTGTCCCAGAAGGCTGACTTCAACAGGACTTCTATTGCTTTAAATTGCATTGGGTCAATGGAGAGCCTTGGCAGGGCATTAGAGGGAAGAAGGAGAAGAAAATCATAGGAACCCCTGGCTCCCTCTCTGTGGCATCACCCTCAAGCCAGCTGCATCCTTTGATCAAAGGTCCCAGATTCTCCCAAGGTGACCCTCTCTTCTTCTAGGTTCCAGCAACCATTCCCTCCCTTGGGGCCTCAGGCCAAAGGACAGAAACAGCTCTGCTACTGCCACTTCTGGCCTACTGCCCTATTTCTTATGATCACCCTACACTTGCCCATATATTTATAACTAGTCATTTTGTAAAACATTTTTTAAATTATCCTAATTTGAGTATGACATCTCCTTTGTTTTGGGACCCTGGCTATATATTTGTGCATCTTTAAATACCTAAATATTTCTCCTTAGATGCTCTGCTTCAACTCAAAATCAACACACCTACTACCAAACATATCTGTTTCCCAAAAGAGTCTTGCCTTCCTCAAATCCCTATATGATACTTATGGCCATCACTTAAGGCCAAAAAAAACTTAGTGTCTTACCTAACTATGCCTCTCCCCCTAATTTGTCATGTCAAGTATATATAGTAGCATATAGAGCATATATAGTAGCATTGCTTATATAAGCCCCTTCTGCTCCCATCGCTTCTACTTTGTTTTGCTCAAGTCACCTCTTAACCCATACTACAACAGCTAGTCGTCCTGCTTCATCCCTTCTCCTACAATCATCCGCTATCTCCTGAGATACTAATTACATGGTACTTTCTACTCAAAACCTTCCAAATCTTTTTGCTTCTTACATGCCTAATCACTAACTCTTGGTTCAAATCATAATCTAGTCACAACTCCTAATGGAACCCTCTGTCATGGTCTCATTTACTCAGTATCTTCTAAACATGCCTTGAACTTCAATATTCCACCCATTATTAATGATATTTCCCTCAGCTACAGTGCCTTTCACTCACCTCCTATCTGCCCATCCAAATCCTACCATCTGTCCTCCTTCCTTCCTTTCTCTAAACGTTCCCTAATCCTGTAAACTGAACTTTCTTCTCCTAAAAATTTCTTTGAATTTGTAAGTAGCACCCTATTGATTCTATACTGCTTTATAGTTTCAATATAATATATATTATATATAAGTAAATTATTAACCCCTTGAGGGAAAGGAACATGTTGAAAACAGTGCCCTTGCACATAAGAAATGCAAACTATTACTGACATCATAAATTAAAGTGGAAGTTTAAGAAGAAAAATATAGTAAGTTAAGGTGCAAGATGAAGAAGCAGATCCTAGATAGCTCAATCTTCTCAGCTAAGCCTTAAAAGATTTCTATCAAAACTTATCTACTATTGATTGCATTGGTATAAACTTACTATTTTTTAAATGGCAATCTGTAATATGTACACATCGGGCTCCCTGCTATAAACTATATATATATATAGTTTTTTAAGAGTGAACATAAAAACTGCATTTCAAATCTTAGTAGGGAATCCCAGAGACTCCTTTCCATCCCCAACTCACCACCTTAGTCTATCTAGCAGGCCTCCAGAGCTCGTGTACCCTACAGCCACTGGCAAAAGTATTTCCAGCCTGCCAGTCAAGACCACCCTTCATTCATACTTCATTACTTTTCCTCAAAGACTCTTTATGATTACTGATCTCCAGTTATCATCAAAAAGCAATTTTTTTTTTTAAAAAGCAATTTATAGGTTTAGATAAACACACTTAAAGTCTCAAACATATTTGGGTTTTCTATAAAATTTGAGAGGATTACTATTACTCATAAACTCTGTGAGAAAAACATACATTTTCTTTGTCTATAAAAGACATTTACTACTAACAAAATGAGAAATCATTTTATACATAAAATAAGTAAGATGGCTAAGTGTACATCACTATATAATTTTAATACTCCTGCCTGGATTTCATCATGAACACTGTTTTCTGGTATAGACATATATATATGGGTATATAAGGAATAAAAGAAGAAAAACTTCGATGTAAACATGAAGAGAACTGATATAACAGGTCAATATATATAATTATGAACATTTTTTAGACTAATATCATCTAAGTTATAATGTAGGAGCATTCCAGGAAGCATTTCCTAGACGTACAAAAGGAAATCTTGTTCTATAAGGGATCTCATTTCCACCAATTCACCAAATAAAAACCGTTGTAGACATCTTATAAATACTCCTTTCCTTTTCTTCCCAGTCAGCTTCTTCTCCAAAGCCTATATGTATCAGGAATTTAAGTTAAAAATTTATAGCGCCACAGAAACGAACCTGATCCTACTCTACTACCTAAAAGGAAACATACATCAGGGTAAGTCATAACAACATTTATTTATATGTCTATGTTCTAAATGTCAGAAGAATGAAAATTTATTCAGATTTTAACTCGTTAAAAATGCTTTTTATTCTTTACAGGGTGCCTGGCTGGCTCAGTCAGTAGAGCATGGGACTCTTGAATCTTGGGATTGTAAATTCGAGCCCCATGTTCGGTGTAGAGATTACTTAAAAGTAAAATCTTTTTTAAAATGCATTTTATTCTTTAAATAAAAACAAAATTAAGGGGCACCTGGGTGGCTCAGTCGTTAGGCGTCTGCCTTCGGCTCAGGTCATGGTCCCAGGGTCCCGGGATCAAGCCCCACATCGGGCTCCCTGCTCAGCAGGAAGTCTCCTTCTCCCTCTCCCACTCCCCCTGCTTGTATTCCCTCTCTCGCTGTATCTCTCTCTCTCTGTCAAACAATAAATAAATAAAAATCTTAAAAAAAAAAAAATTAAGTTCAGATTAACTGATTCTAAACTAATCTATATATATTAACAATCCTTATAAAGTTACATTAAAAACCCATGAGCCATAGTATTTTCAAATAACTCAGGATACTGTAGTCTCAAGTTCCACATGCCTTATGATGAATAAATAGGAGTGTTTTAAATTGTTCTGATTATAGATGTATGAGATGTATGAGCCAGCAGATTTCAGTCTGAGTTTGGTATTGCCTTTAACAGAATTATAAATGAATTCTAAGTTTTACAGTGTTACTCTGTAAGAGAGACAAGAATGGCTATACTATACTATTCTTTATTTTTTGAAGTGATAAAGCAAACATAGATTTTTAAAAAATGAACCAGAATGGAATTAAAAATGTTTAAGATGAACTTCTCAAGTACTTCTAGACTATTTTAGAATAATGTAAGTTATTTACTAACATTTCCTTTTAGTGTTGAAGAAAAACCAATCTAAAAAATATTATCAACTAGTCAAAAACCATTTTCAAAATATCACAAAAGTAACTATTCTTTTAGCCAGACTATGTATATCCTCTTTCAATATTACAATCATTCATATCTCTGCCCTGCAAATGTTATCATCATCCTCAGAGTTCAAGATAACTAAGAAAATAAAATCCCTTGAACAGATTATATTCTCTTCCTATTTGGAATTGCTTTTACCTGAGTAATTTAAATTAATGAAGCACTGATCATCAATTATACAACCAATAAGATTTGGCTGACCTGCTCTGGTATTTTCATGTGATGAGTATGCATAATTTTCTACTAATGGGACTTTGGTACTATAGTTTTCATACTTTATGAAGTTCCCAATTTGCTACCAAAATCATAGTCTTCCTTATTTTTTTGATCAAAACATCTTCCAGAAATTTCAAACAGGTTCTTTTTTTTTCATTCAACTTAAGCTATCATACTTTTTTCTCTTGTGCTATTAATTTTCTGTTTAGTTACACCCTAGTTACACTCCTATAATAAAATCAGTTACAATATCTACTTCAAAATATCATCCTGCATAATACATTTAGCTGTTCTTCCTATTCTTTTCCCCAAGAAGAAAATTCATGTCTGCCATGATGCTTCTAGCTTCAGACTGGAAAACTCTCCAAAATCCTCAAAAAAACCACATATGTATCTTCCTGCCACTTGCATTATCTGCTGTAAATCAAGTACCACTCCAGTCCAGTCACAAAGCCTATATAAAGTGTTTGGCTACCTATTTTGAGAAAATGAACTGATTATCACTTCACAGGGGCTTGCTGGCACTGTTGCCTTCATTGTTCTGCAGAGCAAGGTAACTTTTAATCCCTCAGCTCAATAAAAAATAAAACTGGAGGAAAAAAAAAAAATAAAACTGGAGGAAGCACAGCAGTAAGCTAGAAGAAGCTAGTAGTCTTAGGGAAGGCTACTGGGCTTCAACAAGCAGAAAAACATCAAATATTGAAAAATTTTAATCATGGGACTTTGCTACATTTATAGAAACTTATCTAAATACTTAAGAGTGATGAGGCACCTAGGTGGCTCAGTCAGTTAAGCATCCAGCTCTTGACCTCAGCTCAGGTCTTGATCTCATGGTTGTGAGTTCAAGCCTCATGTTGGGCTCCATGTTGGGCTCCATGTTGGGCATGGAGCCTAAATAAATAAATAAATAAATAAATAAATAAAGTTGGGCATGGAGCCTAAATAAATAAATAAATAAATAAATAAATAAATAAATAAATATTTAAGAGTGTTTATTAGAATTGTAAACCAAGTATAAGAATTCTTTTTCTCCATTAAGAGCTAAAGATAAATTTTAATATTTATTATTACAAGACAGTCACTACAATCTTTCTGGTACAATACTCTATTTTCTTTATAATCAGTGGCAAAAATGAAAAGGTTTCCAAGGGGGCGCCTGGGTGGCTCAGTCCTTGAGCGACTGCCTTCAGCTCAGGTCATGATCCCAGGGTCCTGGGATTGAGCCCCGCATCGGGCTCCCTGCTCCGCGGGAAGCCTGCTTCTCCCTCTCCCACTCCCCCTGCTTGTGTTCCCTCTCTGGCTGTCTCTCTTTCTGTCAAATAAAATCTTAAAAAAAAAAAAAAAAGAAAAGATTTTCAAGGATTATATATATTAATCTCCAATTAAACATATAATTATCTCACCATAGACAGACTGAAATACCAAAATTTCTCAGAAGACAAAAAGGGAAGAAGACTCTGACAGACTGCTACAAAGATGCTTCTGATCTAAGAAAAAAGGAATCATACTGCTCCACCAATATTGACTCAAAGAAACTCTTAATCTGTTACAGAATGAGAATACTGTCTTTATTTTTGAATTAAAAAGTTACCCTCATATACTAGCCTATGGACTTCTATAAGTAAGTAACTAGTCAATATTCACACTCTCAGGAAAAAAAATGATAATTTTATTATTATGGGCCTATAATCTTGTCCTTAGAGTCCACAATATGAGACCTGTTATACTCCAGAGAATTCTAATGTAGAACTTTATATCAATTCCCTTAAATAAGAGATGTTTCACTGGTTTCCAAGCAAAAAGAAGTTCTTTGGTATAGTACTCATTTGGCAATAGTAATATTGACACTTATAAAATAAGAAGTTACAAATAATGAACATTTTATGAGATGTCTACCTGTTTCCACATTCTCGGTCTCAACTTCTTGTTCTTCTGCCACATCTTGCATCATGTAAGTCTCATCATCATAGACCAGAACCTGGGCTGCATAGCCCTGCTCTAATCTGGCACTTGGAACTGGCTCCACAATCACTGCTGGGTATTCAGAAACCTTTTCACTTTCCTACAAGAGCAAATTTAGAAAACAATCAACCTTTTTATTCATAAATTCTGGATTTACGTATAAATACTTGAGTTCACATAGTCTGAAGGGGGCTACACAATGAGTTTCATGTACTATAATTATGAATGTAAAAACCAAAACAAGAGATGAAAAGGGAACTTTAATAATCTTTTTCAAGGTGTGCCTGGGTGGCTCAGTCGGTTAAGCGTCTGCCTTCGGCTCAGGTCATGATCCCAGGGTCCCGGGATCGAGCCCCGCATCGGGCTCCCTGCTCAGCAGGAAGCCTGCTTCTCCCTCTCCCACTCCCTCTGCTTGTGTTCCCTCTCTCGCTGTGTCTCTCTCTGTCAAATAAATAAATAAAATCTTAAAAAATAATAATAATATTTTTCAAGTCTCAGGAGGTAACATTTTAAACAAGCAGGGCTTTAGGATTAAGATGACAAATTAAAAACATGCATATAATTGCACTCTCCTAAAACTCACAAAAATGAAGTAAAAGACTTTTCAACACAAACCCATAAGGAGAAGAGATAAGAGCAACAGAATCTTGGAAGATTGAGAGTGGATGGATAAGTATTATGAAATGGTTTAGCAGACCCAGGACAGCCAAATCACAGCCTGGCAGCAAAAAGAAGCTGAGAAACAACACACTTTATACTGGAGAACCCACAGAAAGCAATACCCATTACTCCTGGAAATGGAGCAGCAGGTGTAGAGAAAGAGGAGGGGTTCAAACAGGAAAATCCCATTAAAGCTGTTTGAAAAGCACTTTGATTCCTAGACCCGTTCCCTCCTCCATGATGCTAGGCAACTGGCCCTCATCTCAGCAGAAGATTGGAGAATTAACTTTCTGGTGATGGAAAAACAAAACCATCTTTGAGGTATATTAGGCACATTTGTTAGTATCGGTACTGCACCAAAAAGAGAGTTTTCAATCAGCTTTTTAGTCCTCCACTCTTAATGATGAACAGACAGCCAAGTATTGCCACTCATCTAAGGAAAAGCCTCTACCACAGAATATATACATATACGTACACACACCCACACACATATAGGGCATATTCCTCATAGAGATAAGATATTATACCATAAAGTAAGAACAGAATATAATTTAATAAAGAAAGAAAGAGTTCTTAGAAGTTAAAAACATGGGGCGCCTGGGTGGCTCAGATGGTTAAGCGTCTGCCTTCGGCTCAGGTCATGATCTCAGGGTCCTGGGATCGAGTCCCGCATCGGGATCCCCGCTCCGTGGGAGGCCTGCTTCTCCCTCTCCCACTCCCCCTGCTTGTGTTCCCTCTCTCGCTGTGTCTCTCTCTGTCAAATAAAAAAAAAAAAATCTTAAAAAAAAAGTTAAAAACATGATAGCTGAAATAAAAAAGACAGAGGCTTGAAGAAAAAAAAAAAAAAAAAGACAGAGGCTTGGAAGATAAAACTGAGGCAGTCTTCCAGAAACCAGAGAAACAAGATGAAGTTTTGAAAAATAGGGGAGAAAAGAGAATGGTATTAGAGGACCAGTCCAGGAGGTCCAATATCTGAATAACAGAGTTCCAGAAGAAGAAAATAGGGGAGAAAAAAAAGGTTGGAAAGAAATGAAAGAGTTCCAGAAAATTTCCTGAGCTGACAGATACGAGCTGCCCATTTGAAAGGACCCACCAGATATTTACAATAAAAAATTAAGGGAGACCTACCCTGAGGCACACCACTGTGAAATATCACAACACTGGGGACAAAAAGGAAGATTCTACAAGTTTCTAGAGAGAAAATGCAGGTCACATACAAAGAATATGGACTCGGACTTCAGTCTTCTCAACAGTCGTATTAGGAGGAAAATGACAGTGAAACCACCTCTTCAAATTAGAAAGGAAAATTATTTCTAACCCAGAATTGTTCAGCCAGTCAAATCATCTTATGAAAATTAGGTATTTTTTCAAATATGAAAGATCTCAAAACATTTATCTTCCATACATCCTTTCTCAAGAAGCAAGTGGAGAGTGTATTTCATCAAAAAAAAAGTAAAATTTTAATAAAGACAGCAACTTAAGATAGACAATATGGGAGATTCAAAATGGGAGAGAGACAATAGTAATCTTGAGAAGGATTGCAAAGAGATTCCAGGATGCCAGCTATGCACTAGATTTATAGGGCAACCAGTCTGGATTGTAGGAACATGATTCCTGAGACAGGATGATAAACTGTCATCACCAAGATAGCCACTCACATTATTCCTAAGGACAGAGTGTCCAGATAAGCCTATTCCCAGTTTTTATTCATATTTGGCTTGCTTTGATATATCTACTTTGCATTGCTACCTAGAACAGCTAAGAAGACTCATTTCACCTCCTAGATGTGTTCTGCTTTGATCTACTCTTAACTGTTAGAAGAAGGCCACAAAGAGCTTAGAAACAAACAAAAGCAGAATAGCATTCTTCCCCTGTGACTGTATATACACCTGCTGAACAAACCTGCAACACCAGGTCATACCACTGCCTGAAGCCTGACCAAGATGACCCTATGTTTCCAAGATGTAACTCATGACATTCCTTACTGATTTCCTGAGTAGAACCTCTTGAAACTCAGTGAACCTGATGCCAGACTAATCTTCCTTTTCCTGGAAGCTTTAATCTAACTGTGGTAATGCTATCCTTTCTTAACTCAGTTAGCTTGGGACATTATTCATTTTTTAAAAGTAAACAACATGTTGTTTAGGAGCATATCCAAAGACAATAAAGCTATAAAGAAAAGTAAAGGAATATTACCACATACATCAGGATAATGGCACCTCTGGGATATTGAGAGGGACACACAATATTCTAAAATAATACTAATTTCTATTTTTAACCTGATTGAGAGCTAATATTTATTCTTTTTGTTATTCTTAAACTAAAACATATTATATTTTATACACTCTTCATTTTGTATCAAACATTTCACAAAAAAGTTTAAATAAATTAAAAACAAAGGTATAATAAATTAAAAATAAGTAAGCACATGCTGAATATTAACACTGAATTTCCTGCTCTGTATAAGGCAAAAAAAATTTAAATTTAACATTAAAAAAAAGTCCTGGGGCGCCGGGGTGGCTCAGTCAGTAGAGTGACCGGCTCTTGGTTTCGGCTCAGGTCATGATCTCAGGGTCCTGGGATCGACCCCCATTTCAGGCTCTGCGTTCGGGGGGAGTCTGCTTCCCCTCTCCCGCTCCCTCTGCCCCATCCCCTGCTCAAGCACTGTCTCTCTTATATAAATAAATAAAACTTTAAAAAATAAATCCTTCCCCACAAATTGGATATACTAACAGTTGAATCTCCATGCTTCTTTCTCAGCTTTATAACTCCAACCTACAGGCAGCATCACTTAGCTATAATACCTGTTAATGAGAAGCATGGGATAGGTAAAAACTGACGAGATCTCCACTCATCAGAAATTCAGAATGCAACAACTAAGTGGCATTTGAGCTAGTATTGACCCAAGCAGTAAATATCTTATTTATATATAACCCAAGGGATTTATAACTTAATTCCTCTGAAATCTAATAGTATTATTAATAGTAATATTAACCTGAAATTATTTTATATTGTGAACTCTCCACCTCCACCTTACCAGTAGGAATTGAATCAAATTGTCTAAACTATGCAATACTTGAGTCTAGAATATTGTACAAGGTCAATTCCCCCATCTATACTCTTTTCCCCACCAATTAGGATTCTAGACCCACTCTTCTCTCTCGTACATGTTAGTTAGGTTTTAATATTTCAGTGGTTCCTTCTAACTATAAAAAAGAAAAAATCTTTATTTCAACTCTTCTTTCTTTTAACTGAACTCCAGATCTTTACTTCTTATACCTGTACACACTCTCAAAAGGTAGTCTAACTCTTTAGCTAGCTATCTACACATACCTTATAATCTGGATTCCACCACCTCACCAAAACTATTCTCTTAAATGTCAGTAAGGACTAAATTCTATTCCAGTTTTCACCCTCCTTTCCCTTTCTGCCGACTCTTATACACTTACACACTCTTACCTCATTTTAAAATTATTTCTTCCATCTTTTTTGTTCTCTTTCTACCACTCTACTTTTAAGCATCTCCTCTGATTCTTCTTCCATCTCCAGTGACTGAAATATAGCCAATTAACTAAGGTTCTGTCCTCAGCATTTCCTATTCTACCTTCCCTGGCAAGGCCACCCATTCTCAGGGGTTATTTTAAAATAGTACCTCTATACTGATGATTACTAAATATTTGTCTTCTTCTCTGGCTCATCTCCTGAACTCCAGAACCAAATTTTAAACTACCAACTTAACATCACTACAAGAATAATCAGCTAATACTCTAAGCTTAACATGTTTAAATGGAACAAATTATCACCATCTTTCCCTGTTCTCCCTCCCTGTGTTCTCTAAACCTGTTTCTTCATATTAAAAAAAAAAGGTTACAATATTCATACCTCTCAAAGTCCCTTGAAAATTAAATATCCACAAAGTACATTTGCTTAGCACAGTGTTTAGAGTGTTTAGAACAGAGTAAATACTCAATTGGTGATAGCTAATTGTCATATTGTAAGATTAGTAATAGTATTCAAACCTTCTATTTGCCCTCAACTTTGGAGGGCATCTTTTCACATTACAATCAGAACTGTCTGTTTTACTTCTTTGTACAAAAAGCTTTCATGACTACCCATTTGTCTAAAAGAAAAATTTAACATACAAAACAATGGTTTTTAACACTCTTTGAAGTATAACCCTCAACCCACGTTAGGTGTTGAATTGATTCAGATTGGGGGATTATAGAAGACTTCCTATAACAGGGTCCTGAATGGATGAAAAGAATTTTGATAGATGTGGAAGGCAACTGTAGGCTCATGAACATGAGCAAAAGTCATGGAAGCTTTCACATTTGGGAATTAGGGCCAAAGCAAGTAATCAAAGAACTATGAGAAGTAATGCAGAAAATAAGACTGTAAAGGTGGTGTATTAAGTTCTGGAGTTGTTTTAACAAATTATCA